CCCCCCGCCCCCAACCTCTCCCCAAGGGTTACCAACCGATGACCTTAATTCTTCAAACTGCAGTGCACACCATGTAACTGATAGGTCAGCGAAACTCCACAAGTGTTTTGAAACGCTTTCAAGGCCAGAAAGTTATGGTTTGTTGTATGGTCCTTGGTTCAAGGGAAGATAACAAGATAACAGTGTCAGATCAACCTGACATCGGAAACAGGTTCACAAGCAGGATAATAGACTACAATGGCATGTCGAGCTGACACGTTTTGGAGTTCTCAGATGTTTTGTTCTACGAAAGAGAAGCCTTCGGCGCAGAGGGAAGGTGAAAGAGGAGAGAGAGAGAGAGAGAGAGAGAGAGAGAGAGAGAGAGAGAGAGAGAGAGAGAGAGAGAGAGAGAGGAGTGTATGTGAGTGTTTGTTCGTGTGCGTGTATTCTAGTGCATGTGTCTGACCACCACCTGTACCGTTACCACGAGCCAATCACCTATAAAAATCACCACTTCTACCACAATGGCCCTAAATGAACCAATTAATTAAGTTTGGTATAAAACAAATACTTTATCAGACAATATTACAATTTGTTATATTTATAAGTCTCTCTCCGACCTCACGTATGTATATCTGCATCTCCTACTTGTGATATGAAAGAAAATCTACAATATCTTTATTTTATTCTCTTTTCTATCTTTACGGCTGCTCTGGTGTGGTTTGCTTCTTCTTTCCTATCAAACATCTATCGCCCTTATCTCTCCTCCTTCTTTTTTGTGTTTGTTGTTCTCTTGTAACACCTCTAATCTTCGGCACTTATGTGACCTTATTGTGTTGCAAGTGCCGTAAAACACGAACTAAAACTAAACTTTCTTTCTGTCATTGGTCTCGGCATGGAGCAATTTAAGGGCATGAGGCTTAATGCTGCTGAAACTAACTGCCCCCCCCCCCCCAATCCCCCACCCCTCCTCCTTTTCCACCAAAACACCCAAGACAGTCTCTGGATTTTGCAATTTCATAATACATAAGTTACTTACATGTTGTTAAAGCTATGCCTCAGCTGATTTGTTAGTGCCTGTGTGCCTGTATGTCCGACTTTAACTTTTGTCTGTCTGTTTACATCTCTGTCGTGTATCTGTCTGATGATATGCTGTTTATCTGTCTATCAATCTATCCCTTTGTCTTTCCATCTACACTTCTCTCTCGGTCGCTGTTCCTGTCTGTCTGTCTGTCTGTCTGTCTGTCTGTCTGTCTC